GCCTGAGACCTCCTAGGAATTCGCGCACAGACGAGGCCCCCAATCGAGTCTTCCTCAAGATGTGCGAGCGCGCGGGTATGCGTGAGTGAGCGAAGGAAGGAGCGCGCTCAATGATGGTGATATGGTGGCGAAGATGGCGATGATGATGGCGGTGGCAATGATGGTGATGACGAACGGGGGCCGATGAGCTTGATGAAATGGTGATACTGATGGGTATGACGATGGTGGTGCGAAAATGAGGATGAAGATGCTGATGATGCTAATGATGATGAGTGGTGGTGGGTAGTGATGAGTAAGTCAGGGAGTGAGCAAGTAAGTGACTGATGAGTGAGTAAGTGAGTGCGGATGAGGATGGTGATAATGGTGGTGGCGCTGGTGATGATGCTGATGAGCGAATGTCCGTGACTGGGTGATGGTGATGATGATGATGGCGCCGAGGAGGGTCGACGTGGCCATAGCGTTCCATTTAGAAAAGCTGACGGTGGCGATGGCAAGAAGCGGCGCATCAAGCCCACGAGTGGCGACAGACACTGCCGGCAGCACAGACGTCGAAAAGCGAAATTAAACCCTCAAGCGAGGGCGGGTGGGCTTGGGAGCTTGATCACAAATATTCACAGATGTGCGGCCACTGAACCCCTGCCCCAGCACGCTCCACACTAAAGTTGTTACCATGCCGAGGAGGGTCGCCGTGGCCATAGCATTCCTTTCTAGAAAAGCTGACGGTGGCGATGGCAAGAAGCGATGCATCAAGTCCACGAGTGGCGACAGACACTGCAGGCAGCACAGACGTACACTGTGTAACACTACATCATGGCCGCAGGCCGCTGAGACTATACAACCTGGACCGAGACAGATCATGTGGAGCATCGACGATGGAGTCGGACACCAGCTCTGCAGCTCGGACGGGGAAGCGCGCAGCTTTGTAGCGGCAAGCCACGCCTCTGGCCGTGCGGCCGTCGAATTGTAAACGAGGTCGCCCCAATCCCGGGCACGCCATGCCACGCAGACGGTAACAAGCGTCGAGGCGCTGGAGCTGAGGACAGTGCCAGCAGAACACTCGTGTGGCCGAGCGGGCTGCCGCTCCGACTTGGCAGAGGTCCAGGTCAACTTGCAGAAACGACGGGAGATCAACCAGAGTCCGAAACTCAGGCAACGCAAACATGAAGCTGGCACGCGGGTGCTCAAGACAGACAGGTACAGACAAGTCGATACAGGCACGAATGACTCTGAGGGCTGCGCGCATCCCGACATCGTCACTCACAGGCGTCGGCAGCTGCAACCGCAGGCTAGCAGGCGCGGCCCGACCCCACGGGTCTGACGCTGCGCGGACAGGCGGGGACCCAGACTCGATCCAAGACCCGCGTGGCAAAGAGAGCCAGCAAGCACAGACCGCCGACGACCGAATCCACCCAAGGAGTCGATCGACGACGCCCTGATCGCACAGCGCAAGGCCCACATTTCGACCTGCACCAAGCGAGGGGCAACCCAGACCGCGACGGCGCAGCGCTTTGCAAATGGGGGCCCCGCGGGGCCCAACCACTGGCAAAACGAGCCGACGGCGACGGGGCGCCCGCGCAGAGGCACGTCGGAAGGCAGCACGCATGCGCGAAGCTACTTTCTGGACAGAACGGGCGCCCGCTTCGCGACCCGCGGCAGGGGGCGTCGGCTGGAGCGGCACTGGCAGCGGGAAGCTGCCCTTCAAGAACTTGATTTCGATCAGCTCCGAGAGCCTCGCGAACACCTGCTCGCCGAACTCGGCGGTCTGAGGCGGGGGGTCCCTGATCCGCTGCTGCACGCGAGTCCTCTTGCCGTACCACCTCAAAGATTTGTCTGGCATCCATCCCCCCCTCTCCTTGACCTCCGCTATCGCACGGGCGCCCGAGAGCAAGTCGCACGAGGCCCCCCCATGACGGAGGGCGCACAAGGACGGAGACTCCTTCTGCAGCCCCAGCTCGTGCAAGGCCTGGCGGAACATCGCGCGCGCGTCGGCGGGCCTGAAGTTCCAGAGGCTGACGTCCGCGGGCGCGTTGAGCGTCAGCGCGCGCAGCACGGGCCAGAGCTCGGGGGCGTCGACCAGCACCGACTCGTCCATCACCCCCGCCCTGACAGGGCGGCCCGACTTCGCGTCGTTCACGATGATGCCCCACGCGTTTAAGCCCGACCCTGGGATCGGCGGCGCCAGCGAGCCCACGCGCAGCCTGTAGGCCTCCGACGGCCTGAGGTACGCGTGGAAAACCAGCGCCACGAAGACCGCCATGCTGGGCAGGTTCTTCCAGATGAGCCAGCCTGCGACTGCCATCGCGGCCGAGCGAGGAAGAGGCAGGCGCATCTGCGGCGGCGCCAGGCGGCGCCACCCATCGAGGGCTCGCACCGTCCGCGGGAGCGGCCGCCCCCCGACGAGAATGCGCGGCAGGAAGTGGCGCAGCGCCGCGACCGTCACCCCCCCCCGTCGCTGCGTCGAAACCGCCCAGGGCCAAGCCCGTCAGGAAGCACACGATGATGCTGCCCAGCTGGCTGGCGGTGGTGAAGTTCAGGTCGCGCCAGCCCAGCCGTTCCAGGAATCGCAGGGCGCGGCAGCGGTACCGAGCCCGAGCAGGGTCGGGCACCGCTGAGTTCTCGAGGAAGCTGGGGGCCCCCTCGAGCAACCCCTCGGCCCGAGGGTGAACCGCCGCCTGAGCCGCCACGATCGGATCAGCAAGCCTGCTTCAGGGAAGGATCGACATGCCTCTGCCGCGGAAGAAGCCATTGCCCGCCTGCGACGTTCAGCTCAGAAGGTATCCACCGCACATAGCACCGAAGGTTGGTGGCCAGCGCGGGCGCGGCGACCCTCCGCAAAGGTCGCCGAAAAGTCGGATTGCGGCCTCGTCCCTTGCCAGCCGCCAGAGCCACAGGTAAGTTATCTACGAAGAACAAAAGGCGATGGTCATGAAGCGAAACGTTGCGGGTGGCGCGCCGAACTGCGTCGCGCAGCGCGTCACCCTCGTGCTCTAAAATGCTATTGGACGGGTTCCAATGCCTCCTGGAGATCACGGTGGCCCAAGACGAGACCTGCATGAGCTCCTCGGGGATCTCGTTGAAGCCCTTGCTGAAGCCCTCGGGGTTCGAGTCCAAGAAACCCTCGATGATGTCGAAGTCGTCGGGGGGGCCCTCCGAGACCCAGCGCATTGGCGCGTGCCGAAACCGCCGAAGTACAGCGATATCTCCACCTCTCCGCCTGCCTCTCAAGCTCGGCCACCCGAGGCACGACCTCCTTGCGAGTACACACGCCCACACCGATAGGAGAAGCGTCCGAAGCCGAGACGTGGGAGCCCCAGGGGGTGTTCATGTGAGAAGTCCAAAGGTAAAGTACTAGCCACACACACCAAACTTCGAACTTGACGGAGGCCCACAGGGGCCTGACTCCAGGGTCCTTCTGGGGCTTCAAGGCGTAGACAGACGACAGGGTGCAGAGGGTCTCTCTTTTACATATCATCGTCCACGCGATGTGGCCCAGAAGGACTTCGAGCATGCGAGGCGAGGCGGCGCCTCGCCGCAACACCGCCAGCAGCGCCTGCCGCAAGCGCATGACGTCGGCAGGCTTCACCCTCACGGCCCCCAGGTCGCCGTTGATCTCGAGGCCCGTGAAGACGGATACGGCCGAGGCGGTATCGAGCGAGTGCACAGGTAGCCCCCAAGCGTCCAGCGTGCGAGTCACCTCGCCCCTCTCGGAGGTGACGGCGATAGGGGTCGCCCCCCACGATGGCGAAGTTGTCGACGTAGCCCGCTGCCGCCACGCTGTCCTTGGCAGAGAGGACGGGGCTCGGGCGGCCATCCTCGATGAGGTCGCCGCCGCCGAACCCGCAGTGGACGAGGGCCCCCCCCATGATGCTCTGGCAGAACAGCAGCGACCAGCTCCAGCCCATCGGCAGGACGCGCACCATCGGCTGGAGGAAGCAATCGGAAGGGATGGGGAGGCCGTCGAGCTGCTTGACACTGAGCAGGCGATTGGAGATGGTGGGCAGCGCGAACAGCTCCCCCATGCCCTTCGGCACAAGCGCGTGGTAGCAGGCGCGCTGGGCCAGCGCCACGGGGTGGTCCGACTTCAGGGCGGCCCACGCCGCCGCCGCGGGGAGCGCGGTCTTGGGCGGCGCCACGAAACCCTCGTTCGCCACCCTCGCGTCGAAGACGAGGCGAAGCGTGCCTTTGCCAACCTTCTCGACAAAGAAAAACCCAAGCTATAAGGATCACCCGCCCGCGCGACACGGAAAGAGATCACACCACCCTGCAGCAACTTCCCCACGAAGCCGGCGTAGGCCCTGGGGCAGTTGCCCAAAATCGGGTCGACGTAAGGGCGCTGCGGCACCGAGGCCGCTCTAGGATCTAAAGCAAACGACTCACCCTTGAGCACGGTCCGCCTCCATCCCGACAAACATTCGCGCTCGGCCTCCCCGACGAGATCAGCGACATCAACTGGGGCCGTCGAGAGATCAGGCCAGGACACCAGGTCCTTGTTGTAGGTCTTAACGCGCTGGGAGTCAGAGGAGTGCCCAGGCGCCGACGCGAGCAGCTCTGTCAAGGCTGCTTCGCCAGTATGAGCATCCTCGTGATATTCAGGAGGTAGCGGAAAATGTTGATAGGCCTGAGAGATGTGATCCATCGCGCTCGCCCGCGCCGCCGATGCCGTCAAACCAGGCGGGGCAGACGCAGGAGAGAAGTGGCCGCTCAGCTGGCTCAGGGCTGCGATGCCGTCGTTAGCCCATCCCCGCCAAGCAGCACCGCGCTGGGCGCGCTGGCGCCCCCGACGGCCGCGGCAAGCTTCCACGCGAGCGTCCACCGCCAGAGCAGGCAAGGGGGACACATCACGCTGACGAGCTCCAGGGTCCATCGCGACAACACTGGTGGAGGCGCAACGCCCACGAAAAAGCAGGACTCGCCCAGGCGGCACCGAAGCGCCTGCACCCGCCTGGGAGAAGCTCTCGAAGGGCTATGCGCGCGCCGCCCGCTCCTCGCGGGCTGTGCGCCTCTCCTTGGCAATGGCGGCCTCCGCCTTCAACTGGTCAACGATGAAGTCCGTGAGGGCTGGCGCGATGCACAGGTTGCCCTTGCTCGCCGACACCCCCACGTAGTGGTCCGCCTCCACCGCCAGCAAGCTCGAGCTGGCAGCTTTGGCGCTCTCGTCCTTCCCCGCCTTCTTGTCCTCCGCGGCCACCTGCGCGGTGACGGTGCCCTCGTAGTGCTTCTCCTCGGTGAGCTGGATCTGGCGGCAGATCAGCTCGCACGACGCCAACTCCGCGCAGTTAATCTGGTCGTAGCAACTACCTAGCTCGAGCAGCCTGCAATTCATCTCGTGCTGCTGGCAGATCGAGCCCGTGTCGCGCAGCATCGCCTCCGCCTTCCACTTGGAGTGCCACGCCAGCGGACCGCCCGCGTTGCGCCTTATGTGATCGAGGCACCACTGCGTCGTCCGCCGACCTTTGATCGGCCAGCCCGCCTGGGGCGTGGAGGAGGCCAGCAGGGCCGCCGTGGCGAAGTCCAGCGCCCGCCGCCCAGCCGCGTCGCGAAGTTCCGGGTGCACGCGGCAGTCTGCCCCAGCCGCCCCACCAGCGCCTGCGGCAGCTGCCGCAGCCGCGGGAGCCCCTGCTGTCGCGGCGGGCGCGGCCGCAGGGGCTGCAGCAAGCGGCACGGGCATCCCCCAGGGCGGCCGTCAAGGCCCCTGCCCCGCCTACGCCAGCGGCGCCGCCGCCGACGGGAGGCGCGGCAGGGGGAGCCGCCACCACGGCCGCCGCGTCCGCGGGGTCGTCCAGCTGCACGCGCTGCGGAGCCCAGGCGACCCCGCCGCCCACGCCTGCAGCCAGCACAAACGGCGAGGCGGGCACGGGCACGCCACGCAGCATCGCGGCCGCCCGCAGGTGCGCCCACATGGTGACCGCGTCGGGCGCCGCCGCGAACCGATACGTGTTGAGCTCGGCGACGCCGAGCAGCGGAGCCCCGAGGCCTCGAAGAGGCCGCACCTCGAGCATGCCCGCATCCACGATCGCCGACTCCTCGTAAACGCCTCCGTCCACCGTGAGGACCACAGCCGCGTCAGGCGGCACGTCCAGCAACGTGATCCGCTCATGGTATACTGCGGGCCCTCCCACACGATATCGAACGGCGTGCACATCACCCGGCCGTGGCATTCTGAATGGCGGCCTTCGCTTGCTGCGAAACCAAACGGCGAAGCTGCTCGACCGACGGCGCCACGCTCTCCGCGCCAGCGCTGACCGCCTCCGATGGGACTGAGGCTCTCACTCCCGCAGCCTGCGACCTCCAGCTCCAGATCGCGAGCACCACGAAGACGCCCACCAGCAGGCCGAAGAAGAAGAACACGATGTGGATGCCCCAGGCCGTCAAGACCTGCAGCGCGTGGGGCCCGTCGATGTTCGGGCAGGAGACGCTGTATGTCGGGGAGCATTCGCAGGTACAGGCAGGGCACGCGGGAGATGGTGAAGGCGAGGCCGACCACACCACCAGGGCCTGCGAGGCGCCGCGCGCGAGATCCGAAAGGAAACGCGTGGCGGCAGCTTGCATGCCCCTCAAAAGCTTGAGCACAAATATTCACAGATGTGCGGCCACTGAACCCCTGCCCCAGCACACTCCACACTAAAGTTGTTACCATGATGATGATGATGATGATGATGATGATGATGATGATGATGATGATGATGATGCTGATGCTGATGATGATGATGATGACGATGATGATGATGATGATGATGCTGATGATGGTGATGGTGATGATGATGATGATGATGCTGATGCTGATGCTGATGATGATGATGGTGATGGTGATGGTGATGGTGATGGTGATGGTGATGGTGATGGTGATGGTGATGGTGATGGTGATGGTGATGGTGAGGTGATGGTGATGGTGATGGTGATGGTTATGATGAGTGACTGAGTGAGCGAGCGCTGACGATGATGACGAGCGCGCGAGTGCGCGAGTGAGTAAAAAGGGGAATGCGGGGGGAGGATGGAGAAGGAGGAGGAGGGGGAGAAGAAGGAGGGAGGGAGGGAGGGGAGGAGGGAGGGAGGGAGGGAGGGAGGGAGGGAGGCAGGCAGGGAGGGGGAGAAGGAGAGGAGGAGAGGAGGAGGAGGAGGAGAGAGGTGAGGGGGAGGAGGGAGGCGGAGGAGATCCAGCGCGGGGGGGGTCAGAGAAAGCAACGACGCCATTTGGGATGTGGGGAAGAAGCCAGCTCGGTAGAACCAAGAGCCGACGCGGCTAGCCGCCGCGCGAGCGGCGGCCCTGCGGCGCCGCGCACGCACCCGGCGGCTCTTGAGGGCCCACAGCCGTCGCGCCCGCGGCGGCTGTACCTTCGTGTGCGTGTGAAGATGCAAATCGGGTGCGCGCGCGCGCGGCCCCCGCGCGCGCGCGGCGGCTCTTGACGGCCCCCTGCCGCCGCGCGCACGGCGGCCCTGCCTTCTTCTGCGTGGGCAAATGCCGCCAGGCAGCACCACAAGCCACCGCGCGCGCGCCTCCAGCCGCCGCGCGAGCGGCGGCCCTGCCTTCGTGCGGCATGCCGCGGATGGCGGGGCCGCCGCGTGCGCAGCGGCCGGGAGGCCCTCAAGAGCCGTCGCGCGCGCAGCGGCTCTTGCTGCCCCCGACTTCTACTGTGCCACGCGAGACAAGGAAAGGCCGCCGCCGCGCACGCGGCGGTTGCCCCGCGCGCGGCGGCTCTGGTTGCTCCCGACTTGTGTTGTTCTACGCAGAAGAAGGCAGCGCCGCCGCGCGCGCGGCGGCCAAGGGGGGCCTCGCGAGCCGCCGCGCGCACGGCGGCCCGTGGCGCTCCCGAGTTGTGTTTCTTCTTCTCGCGGAAGGGGGCAGGGCTCGCGCGCGCGGCGGCTGGGGGGCTGCAAGAGCCGCCGCGCGCGGCTGCTCATGGCACTCCCGAGATGTACTTTGCCCACACAGAAGAGGAAGGCAGGGCTGCCGCGCGCGCGACGGCTGTGGGCCCCCTACGAGCCCCCGCGCAAGACGGCGGTTCGTGGTGCTGGCCGCGCGCGCGCGCGGCTGCCCTCTCCTGGCCCTTCGGCTTTGAGCGACATCGCCACAGCAACCAAAGATGACAATTGCAGAGGGCGCGGAGCATAGGGCTAGGTCGGGCATGTCCTCCTGCAAGGAGATTCTGGACAAAGAACGAAACATTTACAAAAAAACAAACAACAAATGTCAAAAGATACTCGAAACATCGTCCCCATACTACTTTTTAAAAATCTTTGGATTGTTCTCCTGTAGAGGGACACGCCCGACTTAACCAAAGATGGCACTTGCAGAGGGCGGGGAGCATAGGGGCGAGGAGGTGTCAGAGAGGGCGTGGGAGTGCAGAACAGGAACCACAGGCCTCTCAAGATGGGCCCTCGACGGCCCCAGAGACGCCACAATGCTCCCAAGATGGCGCAGGGACGGTCCTGGAAGCTGCCGGGCAGCCCAACAGAGCTCTACGACAGTTCGAGGGGCGAGAAGCTCACGAGGGGCGCCGGCCGGAGAAGCAAAGGCAGGGACGAAGGGTGCCCGAGAGAATCCCCAGATAGCCAAATTCATGCGAGGGACAAGAGAGTGCTCGACTGCCGTTGTGTTGCCATGCTTTTCGGTCAAAGATGGTCTCGGGAGCACACAAGAAGGCTCGAGACGGAGAAAGAGTGTCCCAACAACTTCTCAAGAGTGCCCAGTGATGGCCCAAGACTGCCCAGGGCTGTCCCCCGAGGGCCCCCAGACACTCCAAGAGGCGCAAGAGGATCCCAAGAGGATCCCAAGAGGATCCCAAGAGGATCCCAAGAGGATCCCAACAGAGCCCTCCCACACAGAAGAGCGCATCAAGAGTGGTTTCGAAACGTTGCCCTCACACTCCCATCATCCATCCCCTCCTCTCTTTCGTCCCCTCCTGTTCCATTTCTTCATCTACGTCCTCCTCATCATCCTCCACCTCCTCCTCCTCCTCATCGTAATCGTCAGCATCGCCACTGTCGACCGAATCATCATGAGCACCACCACCAACATCCTTATCACCATCATGATCGTTGTCATTCTCATCTTTCGCATCGGCCTGGGCCTCCTCCTCTTCCGACTCCCCATTATACGCCGTCCCCACACACGCCTGCAGATGGCAACCGCAAGCTCAAAATATCAACAGATCGGCGGAGTTGGCGTCAGCCTACTGGAATCAAGACATACCAATGCAACACGAAACGTGCAAATAGCTTCGACAACGCACAGACCTGGATAACGGGTCAGAGTCAGGCAGGGCAAATAATACGAGACACATGCCGACAACCTGTAGATGTAAATCCACTTCGTGAGCAGAAAGGCGTCGTCCTGAATGCGCCCGAACTTCGCCTGTCGAGGTAGCACTGAGAACAAGCATGACAGACCGCGCAATCTGGGGCAAAGCGGGACAAGGCCTCGACACCGCGGTGCTCAATATCACGCTGCGGGCCCTTAGAAAAGCTATGCGTGCTGTGCCTGGGCTCATATATATATATACGTATATATATATATAGATATAGAGAGAGAGAGTTGGAAGAAAAAAAAAAAAAACAAAAAAAAAAAAAAAAAAAACTCAGCGTTCACCAGGAGAGCCCGGTCTGCAGCCGGACATAAAAGCTAGAAGATCCACCACCGTGCCCCTAAGACACGAGTTGGAGTGTCCTCGGGTCCTCGGCCCAATCTCTTACAGTAGGGGCCCGTCCACAAGAAATCTCCCACAAGAAACCCAACCCTGAGACCCCAGGACGTCCATGGATTTCTGGTGTGGGAACGCCACGCTCTCCATGGCAAAAACCATCGAGACCCAAGAAACCCGGGGCACCCCGGAGGCAAGCAGGGCGCTTCTCGGCGGGGGCCCCCACCGCAAGCCTCAGGCCTCGATCCCGAGGGTTCGCGCAGGAGCCCCGACCCCGAGTTCTCAGATCGTCCAGGGCTGGGCGCGTGGCCCCCGGGGCCCGTCGCGGCTACCCGCGGGACTCTTGCGGGCCCCAGGAGGCCCCGGGACGGGCCAAGAAGGCCCCAAGAGGCCCTCCAGGTGGTCCCAGGATGGCGCCGAGTCGCCAAACAGTCGGTTCAAGACGCCCACGATAGTCGAAATGGATGTGGTAAGCAGGCCCAGATGCCCACATGTAGCGGTTTAGACGATCAGTGGTACCCCATGGCTTATCCATACCAGTCCTTAGTAGAGGCATAAGCAATGAGGAGGAGGAGCAAGGAGGGAGAGGTGGGAGGAGGAGCAGCGAGGAGGACGAGGAGGATGAGGGAAGCGAGAAGGAGGACGATGAGCGAGGAGGAGCAAGAAGCGAGGAGCAAGGAGTGAGGAGGAAGGAGCAGGACGAGGAGCGAGGAGGAGGAGGCGGAGGAGGAGGAGGGCAAGGAGGAGGAGCAGGACAAGCGTGGAAGAGCGTGGAGGAGCGTTGAGCGAGGAGAAGGAAAAGCAGCAGCAGCAACGTGGAGGAGCATGAGGAGAAAGGGGGAACCAGCGAGGAGGCGGAGGAGGAGCAAGGAGCCATGTGCGAGAAGGCGAGGAGCGAGGAGGAGCGAAGAGTTAGGAGGGCGAGGAGCGAGGAGGGAGGAGCTAGAAGCGACGCGGAGCGAGGACGAGGATGAGGAGGGAGGAGGAGGGAGGAGCGAGGAGCGAGGAGGAGCGATGAAGAGGAGGACGAGGAGGAGGAGGTTCATCACAGGGGGTGCACGGCGTGCCGAACGTCTGGCAGGTGTTTGGTTTGTTATATGGAACTCCCAGTGGGGTCTCGACCCAACCCTCCAGCCACTCGAAGAGCTCATATACCATGACGGCCGCGATGGCCCCAAGAGGGCCCAAGATAGCCCCATGATTGCCTCCAAGACGGCCAGGATGGCCCCAGGAGAACCCGAGAGAGCTCCAAGATGACCTCCAAGACGGGCCCAAGATACCCCCAAGACCGCCAAGATGGTCCACGAGAGCCCACGACGGCCCAAGAAGCGCCCAAGGCCCCTAAGACAACCGAGAGGCCGCCAAGACATCCTCCAGGAAGGCCTAAGAGGCCGAAATCATTGATGTGCTTACGTGTTTGAAGCGTTTGGGCATTTGCTTCAAGACGGTCGTCTGACGGCTCAAG